AGTAGCTATCCAGGGCCTACATCGATGTATGAGTCTGCTCGACACTCCACAAGGGGATGGATGTAGCCATGTAAGTATGTACTCATTAACATTTCATGTGTATTATGAGAACTTAATATTATGTAAAAATGTATTTATTTGATAAAAATTAAGTGTTTGAAACTAATTTAAGTGATTTTCGCCTAATGTCAAGCATTTTTTTCCCTCCAATTTAAATTTATTCTTGTATAAATAGATGTTAACCCAATAAATATGTTAAATTAATCAATTAATTAGCTTATCTTTATAGATTAATGGATTGTATTTGTGTTTCCACGCGTTTCCATATTTTTTCCGCATTTTCACTGCGTTTCCGAAACGTTTCCGTTTTTTGGCTGACCGAAACGGTACTTCGAAACGAAATTTCAATCCTTGATTCTACCTTATTTAGTCTAGCTATGTATNAGCTTATCTTTATAGATATAGATTAATAGATTGTATTTGTGTTTCCACGCGTTTCCATATTTTTTCCGCGTTTCCATTGTANATAGATATAGATTAATGGATTGTATTTGTGTTTCCACGCGTTTCCATATTTTTTCCACGTTTCCATTGCATTTCCGAAACGTTTCGAAAATTTAGATGACCGAAACGGTACTTCGAAACGAAATTTCGATCCTTGCCAATATGTAAACATAATAAATAAAATGTTAGTTTTGACAAATGAAAAATATATAGAGATGACAATCAAAATTGGTAAAAAGGATGTTTTGCTAAGAGATCAAAAGGGATCTATCAATGTCCAAAGAGGGCATTCAAGTGGCCCAAGTCTAATTTGCCATGCTTGTTAAGCTCATAAATGGTATGACCAAGAAATAAAATACAAGTTGTGAAGCTAGATGTTGTCTAGGCAACGATTCTGATGGACCTCAAATGTCAAAAAACCATAGTTATCAAATCGTGTATCGGAAGGCGTATCATTTTTTAAAATAGTATATCATATCGTATATCGTAAGATACGGCGCAATTTTAAATAAATAATAATAAAATATATATACCTTTGAAAAAAAATCATAGACTTATAAAAACATAACATTTCATTAATACTTCACCAATTATTCAAGTTAGATAATAAATTAACATCATTTCTTATAAAAACATATTTCACTGGAGTTGCTGGAGAAGGAAGAAGAAGGCAGCTGCGATCCAGAGGCAACGACTGGCTTGGCTGCTTCGTCGTCAAGAACAAAAAGAAAAGAGGGGCTAGGGTTCATCGATTGAAGAATAGAGAAAAAAGAGAGCACCCAAAAAACAGCGAAGACAACGAAGAACACCCAGAAGCTGCTGTGCTTCATCGTCGTGAAGATTGAAGAACACCCTGAAGCTCAGCTGTGTTTCGTCGTGCAGAACACCCGGCTAGAAGACAGCGAATACAATGAAGATGGAGAGAAAAGGGAGATTTTATTTTTTTCGTAAACCCTAGCCACTGAAACGACATCGTATCAGTGGCTATAGGGATTAAAAAATCAGTCTCCTTCAACAGAAAATGACGTCGTTCAAGCCAAAAAAAAAAAAAAAAATTAAACAACCTTGCGCGTATCGATACGTACCATAAAAACTTATCGTNGGATTAAAAAATCAGTCTCCTTCAACAGAAAATGACGTCGTTCAAGCCAAAAAAAAAAAAAAAATTAAACAACCTTGCGCGTATCGATACGTACCGTAAAAACTTATCATGTATCAAACGATACAACGCAAAAACGATACAAAACTACGATTCATATCGGACGATCTCTGTATCGTACGATATATATCGCGTATCGTACAATATTAACAACAATACAAAAAACTAACAAAAGAAAAAATTGACTGTTTTCTCCCTTAGGCCCTTATGTATAATGAAGGAAAGCTGATGGGAAAGAAAAAGGTAAAGGAAAGGCAAATTGCATCCTTTACTCTGTCCTATTTAAATAATACAGGTGAAGTTCTGTTTCTTGCAAAAAAACTAAATAACATAATTGAAACATTTTCCACTGATTATAAAACAAGAAATAAGAAAACGAAATGACACGCTACATCATAAATTTCCTCTTACTTTCCCTAATATAATTGTTTCTCCCTTAAATTTCTAGCGACCAAAAAAAAAAAGAAAATTATTTTCTTTATATTCTCTTTTCCATACCTCGGTAAATCCACCAAATGAAATGGAGCATTAAGGTTAGTGTCAAAAATGCAAACTTGAATTTAAATTGAAACAAAGCCTAATTGCATGAATACTAAGTGTTCAAAATACTCAAATCAACAAAACCTCGAATAAATAAGATAAAATGCATTTTATCTTTACTAGTTGGTGGTCATTTAATAGAGCACTTGGATCATGTTACACGATCCGGTCATAATGACTTTGTAAGTACTACATACCGATCTAATGCTATAGTTCATCTAACTCCACATTTTTTTTTTTTTTTTTTTGGAGGGGGAGAGGAGAAGGGGGCTTAAACCATTGACCTCAAGAAAGCAAAGCTTTCACAAAGTAAGAAGTACCATTAGACCAAAGGCCCATTGGTCATACTTGCTATAAACCAATACCATATAATATTGGGTATTAAATAATACTCGATCTGACCGATCCTAAAAAAAAAAATAAAACTTGATCATAGACCCAAATAACGAAAAAATAAGACTTGATCAGTCTTAATATCAAAAATGACAGAACTGCTCTGATAGGCCAAGAGAGTTATGCATTAAGTGTGGGATGTTTTCGTCTTTTTCAACTTAACACGTGGTTTCTCTCATCCAAACATGTGATCTAGATTAGGATGGCAAACTCACGCTTGATCAAAACCTTAACCCCAATACGGCATAACTGGTATGTGATAAAATTGTAAATCCATTATTAACACTCGTATGAATTAGATTGGAATCAATTGTCCAATCTCATCTCATGTTATATTTGAACCAAACATGCCCTAAACTCCACTTCTCTCTACCATATGTTACACTAGCACACCAATATCATATCATTCCACTATCTTTAGCATTAATACACCACTAACACAGACCCCTAAACCACTTTAAATACAACAAACTTCCACCAAACTAAGACAATTTAATAGTATAATACAACTACTAAAAATCAAATTTAATTTCCACCAGCACCGTCACCGATAGTTGCTNTTCCACCAAACTAAGACAATTTAATAGTATAATACAACTACTAAAAATCAAATTTACTTTCCACCAGCATCGTCACCGATAGTTGCTGGGTGTTTATTTCCACAATTAACATCAACGACTATGCACATAATTCTGAAGTATAGAGAGATTATGCGCAATTCAATAAAAAACATATGGAGTGGATATGCATTTTACTAAAAAGATAAAATCCCTCAATTATATATTCACATGCATATATAAAGTTCAATTTGAGTGTTATACCGTTGGGCAATGTCCTATAGCAGTTCGTCGATGCCAAAGTATTCAAAATTGACTTCAAGTAAATGCCATCTGCTCCAACCAATGATGTGCCTACACATGCTCTCAAGATCATAGAGCATGTAAAACAGAGCCCCAAAACTATGAATGTTTATGACTCTCCACATTGTCGAATCTTTACATATACTCTGTCACGCAATACACACACTCTATACGTGTGTCAATACGTCTATGGATCGCACCTTATGGAGTATCATGGCCAACATGTCCGGCGGAAGTTCTAGCTAGTTAGGTGTCGACTCGGTTGGCTAGTGGTGGGGTTATGGTTGGGTTATGAGAGGTCATGCATGTGGGAAAGTTTGTTGTTTTGAGGGTTTTCTAAGAAAGAGCGAGACTAAATGTAGACTGGGAGTAGTAATCTATAATACAAAGCAGAACATGTTTTAATAAACTCATCCGAATGTCTCAAATAGACTTAATGGCCACCAATAACTCTCAAAAATCTAAGTTAATGTTGCATCGTACCTTCAAGCACGGATTACCTTTATAGTTTATATACATGACCGAGAAGTCTCCCAAACAGTTTGCCACTAGGCATGCAACCTGCCCAATCCCAGCCCAACTCATCATATGTCATTTGGCTCGTTAAGTCCAGTGAATTGACTCGATCAAGGTCTATGAAAAACCCATCCAATTGACCTACATGATGCAAAAGAACTTAAACATATGCTAATATTTTTAAAAAGAGCAATGCTATTGGGACTTAATTTACCGACATAATTTACTGACTTAATTCATTGTGACTTTTGGATTCCCTATAGACCCCATCAAATATTGAAATTTGGTGTTGATTTAATGATTCCTATAAAGTCACATCCTTATGTCAATAAATTATGTCAGATTTTTAAGTCCAAATAGTATTACTCTTTTAAAAAATATCTATTAAGACTAGACAGATGAACACCGGTTGCTAAAGGTCTATGATTATTGATCAGGTGAATGTGTATCATAATATTATGGACGGATTAGTTGGGCTTGTGCTCGTCCTAGGTAATTGAAGCGCATGCCTGATAAGATTGATCGTTGCCAACAAGTGAAATTAAAATGAGTTGCAAGGAATTTTGGAATCAGCCCGTTACCTCACTTTCCAAGGGCGAATTTGAGAATTGGGTTTGTTGGAAATTTTTTTGGGAGGATAACTCTAGTGAGTGGGCAAGGCATTTATTTTCATCAAATTACTGAATCCTACATTTATCTCGTACGTTTTAGAAACTCTTGAATTACATCCGAATGCTTACAGTATTGTGAATAAGTTTTGTAATAGGAAAAAGTTCATACCTTCAAGATTTGGAAGTTGATAACGAAGACTATGGAAGCCGAGTAAATTGTGAATTAATTTGAATCAACGATTAGTTGCGTTTTAGGAGGCCATTAACATATAAGATTGTGTGCATATTCCTGATGTACATGAAGATTATATGTAACTCAATCAATGCAAAGAGGAGCAAATATGCAATTTAGACCAAAACAAAAACCCTAAATTATAGATTGAAATGCATATATATCAAATTCAAATGGGGTGTTATACCGCTCGGCAATGTAGTGGAGCAATTCATCGGTGCCGAAGTACTCGAAATTGACTTCGACTAAATGCCCTTCGCTCCGATCAACGGCGTGCCTACACATGCTCTCAAGATCATAGAACATGTCGAACAAAGCCCCCGAACTGTGAATATCTATAACTCTCCACATCGCCGGGTCTTTGCATAGTCTCCGCCAAGCAGAACACACACTCTGTACGTTCATCAAAACGTCTATGGTTCGCACCCTGTGGAGTATTGTGGCCATCACGTCCATTGGGAGATCGAGCCAATTAGGGATCGTTTCGATCGGGAGTGGGGTTCGAGAGGTCGATGCCATGTCTGTTTGGATGATTTTCTGGGAAAATTTGTTGGCTTTTTATAGGGTTTTCAGAGAAAGCGAGACGAGGTGGAGAGGAGTATTTTATTGGCTTGAGAGAGAACTCAAAAGTCCCGGTGAAATGACCCAGCCCGGCGACCCGCTGGCTATTAGCCTGCCCAGCCCACCACACCGGGTGGGGTTGGCTCGTTATGCCCCGCGAATACACCCTACTAAAGGTCTGCGGGCAAAATAAAAATTCATGTATTAAAACAACTAAAAGGAAGACGTGTTTGCCTTTCATGCCAGAGTAATTCAATTCGATTGTGATCTAATTCTACGCATATATATTGAAATCAAGTGCTTACTAATGAAATTGAGATTAACTTAGGATTTAATTTACTAAAATTTAGATGTAATTGTCAGAGTTTCTCCACAGTCAAAAAAATTATTAAGTTGAAGAGAATAATCGAAAAATAATCATCAAAACACTTCGCATTTTGCGAATAGTTAGTGAATAGGTTTATCAACAATTGAATTCGGATCGTATTTAGAGTGATCTTAATATTTGGGAACTTTGATTCGAGAACTTAAAAATTTCTGTGTGAATTTGATTCGATTATTTAAGGAATTTTATTTTTATAGTTCATAAATGAATAAGTTATTCCGATTGAATTCTTGAATCAATTGGCATTAAATTTTAAAATAATTAAATTTTGTTATATCCAAATATAAATTCACAAAATATGAGATAACCTATTCGAACTTAGATTGTTGGTGAAAATGCACCCAAAAAAATTTCAATTATTGGTCCGCCAATGCCCCCCGCCCCTCCCTCTACCCCTATAAATATTTGTCGTAGAAATGAAATCTATTATATAAGTATACAGATTTGAAATCTACTCTAATGTGATCCGTTAACAAACCTAGTTTAGATCAACCAAAAAATTGTTGTTAATCAAATTGTTGCCAGGAAACGTAGTCTTGAAGATCCTTTCACTATTAACTCTTCTTATTTTTGTTTCCACCAAGCGACAAAGCCTCACTCCAAATTGATTTATTTGTCTTCTCATCTCATCTTGCTTAAAAGGGCCATTAAGCCCTCTCACATTCCAACATAAGATATCTATCATTTTAGGTTTGGGACTAGGAGGAGTTCCCAACCCCTCACGAGTTACCACGAGGCTACTGTTAACTTGATTCTTAACCTTTCCCCTTGCTTTCCTATTTTCTTCCTATAGAGGTAGTCATTACCTAGCCAATTTCATCAACCACCTTGATTTTGTCTAGCATGGTACTTGGTTCAGGTGATTCAAATCACTAGTATCAATTTCCTCCCCTTGAGCAATAGACTCTAATGCTTGAAATTCATTTGGGGAAGAGACTAGTCCACTGATAGTACTAGGGCCTGTTTGGAGGTCAATAGTAAGCGGGCCACGCTTCTCTTCATATAGTATCGCCTTCCCTTTATCTTTGGCTTTCTACCAAGACTTAATATTTCCTCTCCTTTGCAAGATCTATACAACCACTTCGAATTCCAACTTTCCAGAGTCTGTAAGAATCTTTGGATAACTATGACCAAACATCTTACATTGGTCACATCTTAAGGGTTTCCATTGGTATTTTACTCTAATTTTTACTGATTCAATATCCCCTCCCTTTCTCCTTCCATCAGTAAATCAAATGTTTCTGGGAATGGCTCCTGGGCATCAACTTCGATGCAAATTCTCGCAAAGGAAGTTATATTATCTTCTTTAGTGAGTTTATCCATATAAAGTGGTTTGCCACTACATTTGGCTATGTAACTGAAGCCCTTAGGCATCTAGTATTTCATGAGGAATGTTGTAAAATTTTACCCCTATAAGTATCTTCCTCAAAGCTTCCTTATGCCTAGGCTGGCCTCCCATGTGTTGTGCTCCACCTTCCAATACTTCATTCCGATTACTTATACTTGAAAATCTGAGGAAATAAAAACTCTCCTGGTTCGCAGTGACCTCAAACAAACGGTTGACACCTTATGAAGGGGGTTGCTCCCATGACTACACGTGTGGCATTAAATGAGCCCACGTGAGGTCAACAAGACAAGACAAATGACGAGTAGATAGAAAGATAAAGATAAGCCTTTAACTTAGGCATTCTGAATAAACGAATCAACGAAATTGCAGATGTCAGGAGGAATTGTTGAAGAAATATCAGTAATTTCCCAAACTGAATCACTCAATTGAAAGAAGGTGTGCCACCTTGAATCAAAAATCACGAAAACCCTAATGGGATAACCATCTATAAAAAGCAAGAGAAATCAAGGTGAAAAGTATGTTGAACTCTCATTTTATTCTAGCAATTGATTTAAAATCTTTACTGACTTAAGCATTGGAGTACCTTCGATCAAAGCGTTTTGATCTTGGGCAGTTTGTTTGTTTTGCACAAAGAAGATTGGGAGATCAAGTTCAGAGACATTTCTTACCAGAAAGATCACATCAAATTCGTTGTGAGAGGTATCGATAATTTTTTGACTCTTACATTTTTGGCGCCGTCTGTGGGAAGATTTTCATCATTCGCAACGAAAAGCTACGATGTCAAGACTGAGAAGTGCAATTGGATCTCCTAGAGGTAGTTTTGCCTTGGAAAATTCTGATTCAATATCACTCCTATCTGGCAACAACATTAGATTACAAGCCAACAGAAGCCCATCTAGACCTCACGAAGATGATGAGGTATCTTCAGCCAGTTTCAAACCATCCAGAGATCAAAATCAGTAGATTGTAGGTCGTGGAGAATTCTTTTGTGCCGAGGGGAGAACCACTCTTTGGCAAAACTGGTCCAATCCCTGTAGGAGAGGCTTGATGCACACAACAAATTATTTAAAAAATCTTACGCTAGGGAAAGGGACCTGATAAAGGATAATGAAGAGTTGAAAGCCAGGTTAAAGGACTTGACAGAAAAGAGAAGCGTGAGAGGGACAGCCGACGAGAAAGTCCTAAGAAAAAACATGACAGAACCAAGGATGCTAGGGATGATAAGTACCAGCAGAAAAGACCTTGGGTTTCAGAGGAAGACTCATGGAAGCAATACATTACCGAGGAACTCAACAACTGCCTGAAAAAGCCAGAATAGAGGTCGGCTAGGAACCTAGCTAGGAGAGCGATAGGGGATTCGGGAACAACACAGAGTCATCATCCTTCACTTCATGGATTGAAAGGGGGCAAATCCCAAGCAAGTTTATCATCCCGAATTTTAGACTTTACGACGAAAAAACTGACCCAGCCTCACACATCAGACATTACAGACAGTTGATGACAGTTCACCAGAGGAACGAGCCACTACTTTGCATCATCTTTCCTAGCAATCTTGGGGAGTCAGCCATGAAATGGTTTGACAGTTTGCCGAAGGAGTCGATAGATGGATGGTTGCAACTGGTCAAGCAGTTCACGGCTCGGTTCATTACGAGTAGTAAGTAGGCAAAGGATGTTGGGGGNTAAGGAATTTTATTTTTATAGTTCATAAATGAATAAGTTATTCCGATTGAATTCTTGAATCAATTGGCATTAAATTTTAAAATAATTAAATTTTGTTATATCCAAATATAAATTCACAAAATATGAGATAACCTATTCGAACTTAGATTGTTGGTGAAAATGCACCCAAAAAAATTTCAATTATTGGTCCGCCAATGCCCCCCGCCCCTCCCTCTACCCCTATAAATATTTGTCGTAGAAATGAAATCTATTATATAAGTATACAGATTTGAAATCTACTCTAATGTGATCCGTTAACAAACCTAGTTTAGATCAACCAAAAAATTGTTGTTAATCAAATTGTTGCCAGGAAACGTAGTCTTGAAGATCCTTTCACTATTAACTCTTCTTATTTTTGTTTCCACCAAGCGACAAAACCTCACTCCAAATTGATTTATTTGTCTTCTCATCTCATCTTGCTTAAAAGGGCCATTAAGCCCTCTCACATTCCAACATAAGATATCTATCATTTTAGGTTTGGGACTAGGAGGAGTTCCCAACCCCTCACGAGTTACCACGAGGCTACTGTTAACTTGATTCTTAACCTTTCCCCTTGCTTTCCTATTTTCTTCCTATAGAGGTAGTCATTACCTAGCCAATTTCATCAACCACCTTGATTTTGTCTAGCATGGTACTTGGTTCAGGTGATTCAAATCACTAGTATCAATTTCCTCCCCTTGAGCAATAGACTCTAATGCTTGAAATTCATTTGGGGAAGAGACTAGTCCACTGATAGTACTAGGGCCTGTTTGGAGGTCAATAGTAAGCGGGCCACGCTTCTCTTCATATAGTATCGCCTTCCCTTTATCTTTGGCTTTCTACCAAGACTTAATATTTCCTCTCCTTTGCAAGATCTATACAACCACTTCGAATTCCAACTTTCCAGAGTCTGTAAGAATCTTTGGATAACTATGACCAAACATCTTACATTGGTCACATCTTAAGGGTTTCCATTGGTATTTTACTCTAATTTTTACTGATTCAATATCCCCTCCCTTTCTCCTTCCATCAGTAAATCAAATGTTTCTGGGAATGGCTCCTGGGCATCAACTTCGATGCAAATTCTCGCAAAGGAAGTTATATTATCTTCTTTAGTGAGTTTATCCATATAAAGTGGTTTGCCACTACATTTGGCTATGTAACTGAAGCCCTTAGGCATCTAGTATTTCATGAGGAATGTTGTAAAATTTTACCCCTATAAGTATTTTCCTCAAAGCTTCCTTATGCCTAGGCTGGCCTCCCATGTGTTGTGCTCCACCTTCCAATACTTCATTCCGATTACTTATACTTGAAAATCTGAGGAAATAAAAACTCTCCTGGTTCGCAGTGACCTCAAACAAACGGTTGACACCTTATGAAGGGGGTTGCTCCCATGACTACACGTGTGGCATTAAATGAGCCCACGTGAGGTCAACAAGACAAGACAAATGACGAGTAGATAGAAAGATAAAGATAAGCCTTTAACTTAGGCATTCTGAATAAACGAATCAACGAAATTGCAGATGTCAGGAGGAATTGTTGAAGAAATATCAGTAATTTCCCAAACTGAATCACTCAATTGAAAGAAGGTGTGCCACCTTGAATCAAAAATCACGAAAACCCTAATGGGATAACCATCTATAAAAAGCAAGAGAAATCAAGGTGAAAAGTATGTTGAACTCTCATTTTATTCTAGCAATTGATTTAAAATCTTTACTG